CATCACCGCATCTCGCGCGCCACTGATGACGCTCCCTGACGCACACTTAACATTCAAATGCAAATGTTTATTTTAAATTCGACTAATATTCATTTTTTTAATTCACAATCTCCTCATCACAGGCAGGCACAGCACTCAATTCAGCATGTGTTTGTGTGTGCTGTCTGCGTCACTCATAGCACGTGTCTATATCGTGCGCTATATATCGAACATTTTTTCTATCGTTATCGAAGAAGGTTGTACCGTCGATAAATATCGATACCGTTTTATCACCCAGGCCTAATCTTAAGTCATTTTTAAGGAAATGTCTCTTCATTTAAGAATATTTAGATATTTGTACTGAAAATAAGACAACAATACTGATTTAGAAACTGATTTTTGCAGTGGTTCTAGATTAATCGTACTGTATCACATCATTAAAGGGCCCCAATTTAAGTTTATAGTGGCATTTTGAATCTTAAGATCCGTTCAGATGTCTGCTGTTTATTATGCAATGCATTTGATTTGAACATGTTTTCAAATATTTAGCCTTAGTACATTTTGTCAGCATTGGCTGAAGTTTCTCATTTGAAGTGAAGTTCTAAACGTGTTACAATTGACCTTATTATTTATACGCTTATTTTTTTTACGGCTTTTTTAATGAAATGTTATTAATGCGGCATGTATGACACAATCTAACACCATGTAAATACACAACTTGCTTTGGTGCCTTTTGAATGAGATGTTTTCCAAAAAATTGGCAATGTTGAAATGTGCGGTAGGTGGGTCTGTGAATGGAAGGGAATGCAAATAAACACATTTCTGGTTGTAATTAGATGATGATGTGTGTTCAGTACGTGAGCTGCACAAGAGACTCAACTGCTCGTCTGTCAGCACTCTCGTAATGGAGGTTTCCAGTGAAAACGGTTTGCTTGATTAGTGCCGTCATTCCAGTGGCAAACCCAAGAAAATGTTCATTAATATTTGACGCAACTACATCCACCAATTGTTACATATTCACAAAGGCTGATTTTCATTAAAAAATACCATACTTCCTATGGTTATTGTTAAGTGGGGTCATTGCCAAGAAACAGGAGAACTAAAATGAAGACTGCGTTAACACTGATTAATATTTTATAAACTATTTTGATTTTGCTTACACAATATTATGCAAAGATGAATATGTTTTTTCTGCTTTATTCACGATAAAACTGTTTAATGTCAACTTTATATATGAAAAGAGTATTTAAACGTCATTGCATTAGACAAAATATCAAAGCAAATGTCAAGCAAACAAATGCTGCAGGATCTTTTCACTAATTTGATGGCTCACATTTATTCAATGATGTTTAATCAAGCGATTTGGCGATATTTAGTTTTATTAGTCATATTTGAAGTTATTTCTCCTCAAGTTCACACAGGTGTCCTAGTGGAGCAGGGGTGTCAAACTCAATTCCTGGGGCCAGTTGTAATCTGATCAGATTTTGGCCATCGGATTAGATCAAATCTTGAAAATGGGTTGTTAAAAAAAAAAAAAAAGGATTCTGAATTCGGATTAGATCACAAAATCCAATCTTGGTTTTGATCTGGATTAAATGCTCCATTTGTGTTGTTTAAATTGTTTTAGTAAGATTGGGATACTTTTGATTAAAAAAAACGGGATTATTCTGATCCCAGCAGAAGGGTGGATTTCAGGAACTAAAGTAATATAACTTTAAAACTGGTCCAAAAAATACATTTGTAACATGTAATATATCCCCAAATCCTCTAACAGCTGTCAACATTAAACAAAAATATTATATTTAATTTAAAGTTTTTTTTATTATTATTATTGTTTTATCACTGATTGTAAACTACATTGGCACAATCATCAGAGACGGGCCAGTCAGAAGTAGTTATTTGTGTAAATGCAATGCAAAACTAGAATGCAAAAAAAAAATTTCCATCTCAATTAGTTTATTTTTTTCTATCACCATGCCCTTTTAGGGGCTCCGTAGCACTAGTAATCCAGATTTGGAAATCTAAATAAATGTGTATCTGGATCAGGGTGATCCAGCACAAAAGTAAGATGGGTTACCTGATCCTGGATAGCAAAACATGGGATTTCCAAAACCAGATCATTCTGATCCAGATTAAACTTTCTGAACAACTGACCCCTGGAAGGCCGGAGCCCTGCAGAGTTTAGATTCAACCGTATTTAAACACACCTGATCCAACAAATCAAGTCCGTCAGGCTTATTTGAAAACTACATGGTGTGTGTGTGTTGGAGCAGGGTTGGCAGGAATTGAGTTTGACACCCCTGTTATGGAAAGCCATATGGGTCAGAATTCGCGTGCTTTTCACCACCGTATCAATATTAAAACGCCGTTTTCATAACGCCGCCAGGCGTTAAATAAGCGCCGTTAGGCGATAAGTTAACGGCAGACGCCACCACGCGTTAAAATAACGCC